TGTCCTTTCGAACACATTCTTTGATGATGGACTTATAGGCGGGTCCCGAAAACGCGGAAAGTATAGCAAGAAGAATGTTTGCCGCAACAACGCCTACAATGACACTGTCGTGATGACAGGTGAAAGCGAGTATTACACATATAGCACTGCTAATGAAGTCGGCTAGATATAGGATTTTCTTTCTCGATACGCGATCAGCGAACGTGCCCCCTATTATGGTGAGCAGCACAGCGATTATCTTGTCGCTCATTTGATAGATGCCTACCAGATAAAACGATCCCGAGCTGATACTGACAAGAAAACGGTTGCATGCATAGTCAAAGGCAATGTTTCCTATCTCTGAAACAGATTTACTGCTCATCATGACGATGAAATTCTTGAGTTCTTCTTTACTAATCACGATGGCATCTTACCCCTCTACTCAATGCTTGTTTGCAGACAATAGGTTGCCCCTTTGCTCTGAATCACATAGGAACTGTCTTTGAGAATTCGCTGACGTATTACACAAACCATCGAATCTCGGTACGTAAACATGTTCATGAAATTATAGTCGAAGTCTATTCCCTTGATATTCAAAAGCACATCTTCAAGATCGAGAGCCATGCCTAAATAGTTTACTGAGAAGTTCAGGGTATTCCACCGGGTACTAAGAACTTGTGCATTATGCGCACCCATCTTCCTCGTTGCAAGCCAGCGAAGATCAATTCCCTTTCGATATACGGCAAGACACGAATCGAATCTATCGCGAAACGTAGCAAGATCTTCCCCGGTTTCCGAAAAGAAAGGAATTTTTGTGTGAACGTCGCCAAGCACGTTGGTAGCATCAAATCCCTCAAACGTTCTTAAGTCGTAAGAAAGCGCACCAGTTACCCGTTTAGATCCTTGTTCTTTCATAAGAGCCTGGAACACACAGTAAAGAGAAGCTTCTTGTGTTGGTTCCTGACCATCACATTTGGTAACCGAAATCATCTGGACTTTGTCATCAAAGTGATCAAACTCTAAAACTTCGCTTTGAGGCATGTAGCACAGTAAATCCTCGCCGGCTACGTCTTTGTTAGCACCCTCAATATATCTCCTGAAATTCTTGAACGAGCTTTTCTCATACGTGAAGCGCGATCCCCGGATAGCCTTATAAAGAATACGCGACAGCATATGCAGCGAGTGAGCGTCAATTGCATGGTAGGCAA